TTCAACTTGCTAGTTGTATATGATCCAGCTGATCAAGTTTCTTTAACATAACAAAAGCTTTCACGAAGGTCACAAGCTGGAGTGTAATATTGTAGTTCCAACTATTTTATCACTATAGTTCAGATAGCTGTAGGTATTAACCCGTTTTTCTATCTCCTTGAGTCGGTAAAGATCCTCGAAGCGGACAGCATCTGGAATAAATGATTCACATTCAATTCCTGGCTAGCAGGCTCTTCTCAGAGCCCATATTCTGGCAGGAAAGGGGGGTTCAGGCGGTGGGAAGGCCTCATGCATAAAGGAAACCCCTGGCTGAAAAGCAGAAGTTCTGGGCGATTGTGTGTCCTTTATGAACATCGTTGCCTAAAGTATATGTAAATTTATATATATATATATATATATATATATATATATATATATATATATATATATATATATATATATATATATATATATGGGAAGAGTTAAAATCCTAGACAGTTTATTTTTTGCTCAAAGTCAACATTCTGTTCTGCCAAAAATGCAATGGGTGTTCAGACAAAAAAGTGGCGCCGTCAAATATCCATTATTAGAAAAGGCCAGCACACCATGTGCAGATGCAATGTATATTTACTGAATTCCTATACAAAACAACAAGTTTTTTTTTTTGCTGCCTGTGTCTTGTTGGGAAGAACTTCCTTCACTTTCTGTCCCAGAGATGGAGCAAAAAAATAAAAGCAATGTCCTTCTTAGAGAGCGGTCACCAGCACAGGTGTCACTTATTGGTAGATTTACCTTCCTTTTTGTTCTGGTGACAACTCTAAAATGAAGGATTTTCCGTCTTGGGGACAATGGTCAAATAGACAAAAGAGGGGTGAATTTTCCAAACTTGAATTAAAGTGCAACTTTTCCCCAATATATACAAAAACTGAATAAAGGATTGCCTCTACATACACTTTCAGGGCCCATTCACACTACTGGAATGTGGAAACACGCCCGCATGCACTTTCCCAGTGCACTTGCATTGCAGCTTAGTGTAATGCAACTTGCCCTGCAAAAAATGCTGCATGCACAATTTTTGGTCCGTTGAGGTGCATTGGGAAACCCATTGAAATAAATGAGCTTCCCTAACACAAAACACAACATGAGTTGGTGGACAGTTTACAGCAATGGCTGTTCGGCTCCCCTGGGAGCCACACTGCCTGGATCTGGCAGGAGCACAGACCAGTGTCTATAATACATTGGTGACTAAAAGACTAAACGTTTTGATGAGGTTAGTGCAACTTCATCAATTTCTATTTGTTCTGTAAAAGATACACTCGAATTCATTTACTGCAAACATAATATAATCCACAATATATAGTAAAATGAGATTCCAAGAGTAACAAGATACCAAAACATGTCAAACCTAAAAACTGGTTGCACATACGACACAGCGAATACTGCTGTACCCAAAACTGTTCATAGGCAATACTTTAAAAGCTTTTACAGGCCATCACTTTAAAGTTAAGAAATTCTGGTCCTAGAAATTTTCCAGTGTGCATGACCATAATCAATGTGTATTGCCCATTTAGCATTTATGTATGCATAAGCTTCTGAATCGTGCATTTGCACTTTTATGTATGTATGTATGTATGTATGTATACATGGGCGCCAGAGGCTTTTTAAAATTCTTTTGGGCTTTTTAAGTTTATTAAATTGTATAATGTTTTCCTTTTTTTTTATCTTACCTTTTTTGCTATCACAAGGGGACTGAAAAGGCCCCTATGTAATAGCATAGTGCAGGTGACAGGTTCTCTTTAAGGAACCATCAAGGATTTATTAGACTCCTAATGTCACCTCTGTGCTTTGTTGAAGATCAACTTCTTCCCCAGCCACTGGGTTTTGACAGATCTGAACCCGGAAGTGTTTATAAGTCTGAGCTTACAAGTTCATTGACCACAGGGAAATTAGACAATAGATGTTTGCTGGCCTCCCGCCACTCTCCTCCTGATATCTGCCATGGAGGTGACATGGGGGGTTGACAGCTTACAAACACCATACAGGTGGTTGGGCCAAATCACTACTTCTAGAAAGCTGGCAGTCAGGAGACTTACAGTGCAGGCAGCAAAAGTGTATCAGGACAACCCTGGGCTGGGCATCATTTAAATCAGAAGAGGTGCAGCACTGGACTGGTGAGCAGGTGAGTCTGTGGAGGACAACGGAATAGAGGAGAGTATAGCATCCAGACCTGCTGGTGGTTCCATATTTTTTATTTTTGCCCAAGCTAGAATTCGGCTTTAAAGTACATCCACCATAACTGTGGAGACGGTCATTTCTAAAAAAAAATTTTTTAAACTTTCATTAACTTCAATACTTCTGAGTCACAAAAACACAAAAGGAAATCTGGAAAAAAGTCAGAGTTTATTATCTCTACCCCTTATTCTGGGTAAAGGACGTATTGAAGCCAAGCATCAACATAACAGCCTGGAAAAAAAATTTCCAGAAAGAGGTCTGCAGTGGTTGCACGCATTTTTCTTTTCTAAAATTCTTCATCCAATGCATAGCTCACCAAAGCACAATAAATCAAAATGATACACAAAGATGCACAAAACAAACAAGACACACCAACACAAATATATGTCATGAAAACACAGATTTCCCAGGAATCACATCAGGTCAGAGCTCAGAAAACCGAAGAATTAAGGAGTGCCTGCCTGTCAGCCACAATGAGGGGATGCATGGTTCTTCAGCACACGCAATCTGTGGTTCCTCATTCTATTGAACCACAAGGACTCATGCTGTTAGTCATTATGTGAGGTCACTTCCTGACAACAAGTAGTGTTTGGGTGGGGGAAGACCGTGGTTTCTTTATGGATCATGTTATTAAAAAAAGCACACTGGCGCTTATGTGTTTCTTGAATTCTAAGAGGAGTAACATTACAGAAGCTATGGAAAACATAGGGCACATTCATGGAAAGTGCTCAAGATTACTGAAGGGGGAAAAAAAATGTTAGCATTGGCCGAGCAGCATAGATTTTCTAGCAAGTGGTTCGACAACTCTTCCTAAATTTGTTATCTCTAGGTCTGCCTTTAGCAACTAGGGATGTCGTGGAACCCTATGGTTCCTCCATATCCTATGGTTCCTCCATATGTTTCTAATGATCCTTGAGCAATTTCTGCCTCTCGGATAAGTAACCATTGACATGAATTATCTTTTTAGCTATCTGTAAAGGAAGGTTCTTCCCACTGACCAAAGCAAGGAACATTCTTCCCACTGACCATCACACTAAATGTACCATGAGCTGTAGATACAGTATTAGCAGGGGTTCCCTGAGAACGGAAAGTTATTTTAAGGGTTCCTCCATGTTAAAAAGGCTGAGAAAGGTTGGAGCCTAAAATACAAATCCATGACAGTGAATGTTCATCAACCTAGCCTTTCTAAAAGGTAGAGAAGTCTGTCTGGGTCAAGGTCCATAGCAGCTGCTCAATCTGGGCTTCTCACCATTTTTGTAAAGTACTGTATGTTTTGTTTTTTAAGTTTAATCGTCTAGCACAGTGGTTTCCAAACATTGGCCATTTGCTTGCCTTTGTCTTGGCCTTGAGGCACTAGTACCCCCATTAATACTAGGCACTATTCCCCCTACAGACACCAACGATGCAGTACCACAGTCTGGCACTCTAAAGTCTAAAGGACAGTAAACTGCCCTTTTGTTTAAAAACTTTAGAGACCCACTGCTCTTGAAGGTTTATATACAACTTTCTATTGTTTTTGCATCTCTTTTCTCTGTCTCAGGTTCCCACTGACACCAATGATCTCTTAGCTATCTATATGAGCGGGAATCCTCTCAATGACCACAAATGTCAGGGACATTCTTCCTAGTGACTATCATGCCCAAGAGAGGTAAATATAGTACTTATTAGCACGGGTTCCCTGAGACCGTAAAAGTTATTTCAAGGGTTCCTCCATGTTAAAAAGTATGAGAAGTGCTGTCCTTGGAGAACGTCTAAAGGGCTCTGATCCATCCCATTGGGCCATATATGTGCACAAAACTGACAAACTCAACTTGCAATTCTTGTGCATTTATGGAGACACTAGCAGATTAGGTGTGTTTGATTTAGCTAGAAAACTATATGTGTTTGCGAGGGGCTAGAAGCCCGAAGATATGATCCTGCAGAGGGCATAGTTCAAGCATGAGTTGTGATGAAGCAAGCAGACAGGAACCCAGGAAAATAACTCTAGAACACAAACTATGCAACTAATAGAGATGAATGTCCTTGTCATGGTAAAATAACTCCTTTGTGGTGTGTCTTGTATCTCTATGCAGTTAGGAGAATGACTTGCCACAGGCTTTTGTTACACGCCCAGACCTGTCTTCATTGTCTAATATAATTTGGAGTTTGGTAACCCTTTCACAGCTGCTTAGTAATGAACACACCAAGGATATTTATATACTATCAGCCCTTATCAAAGTGTGTTTTGTCCATATGAACCACTGAGATTTTCATTAAATTCTGAGGCACCCATAAAACATATGTATTCATAATGTGACAGTGTGACATTAACCTCCCTAGTGGTATGATTATTTCAGGTTTTTGGTGCTGAAAGCAGGACCATTATTTTGCATGGAAATATGTAGTTTTTTTTTTTATTGCAGGCCTGTAATTTTTAGGAATAATTCACTGAAATCTGTCTGAACAAGAGTCTAGTAAACATTCCGGATATGATAAAAACTTGAAACACGAAATCAAATTATAATTTAATAAAAATAATCATAAAAAATAATATAATAATAATAAATTTAATTCAATAATATAATCAAACCAAAAACACTGAAATTTGAAATAGAGCGGCAAGTTCGCACATTGCTGAGCAAAGTCGCAAAATCGTTTTCAGTGTCTGATGACGAATTTCCCCATGAATCATTATCACTCAATTCTGCAAGTGGTTCTGATTTACTAACGCTGTTCTCTAGCTGGTCTAAAACCTCTTTTGACCTAAAGGGACGCTTTTTGGACACCATGGACTTTTCTAAGTTTCCAGGCAGAAAGAACAGTAAAAATGCAGGCAGGGCGCCGGACAAAGCAGTAGGGACAAAATGTATGTGAAATGCTTTGAAACAGCAATGTTTTACTATGTAATAATCGTTTTAAAAAAACATTTTTTTTTAAATTTTCAAATTTGCCGCTGGGTCCGGCGCCCGTACGTCCCGACGTCACAGGGACCGGAACATGGAAGCCGGATGCCGGCATCGGCCGGAGGAGATGGCCGGGGACGCTGCAGGGGACGCATCGCGGGAGCGAAGGACAAGGTAAGCGCTGCAGTGAATCCCTGAGCAACGCCGCATGGTAAGTCCGAGTGTAGCTCGGGCATACCGCTTTTGGAACTGAAACTCTACCCCGAGCTACACTCAGGAATACCGCCAGGGAGGTTAAGGTGTGACAGCCATGGCCTGAATATCAATGATCAGGGGATCTGGTTGACTTTAGGCATATCTATCAACCCTGATTGGCAGGTACTAGAGACTAACAGTCTTGAAAACATCAACCAATTTGAACAAGGGTTTCTCCAGACCTTGTCAGGGGTTCCTTGGGCTGTGGCCTCCCATTTAACGTGGCCTTCATAGTTCCAGAAGCTATGGGACTTGGCAGAGCTAACTGCCTGGCACCAATGATCTTTTTAGCTGTATATAAGGGTGGTATTCCACCTACCACTTTAAGGAGGTAGTTCTTCCTACTGGCCACCAATGAATTTGTTTTAATGGGGTCTTTCAGAACTAGGGTCTTAGGTTAGGACACCATCTGTATAGCGCTTGCAGGTTCTCCCCATGCTTACATGGGTTTCCTCTAGGTATTCCGGATTCCTCCCACAACCCAAATACATGATTGTAAGGTAAATGGCTGTCAGGCTTATTGTAAGAAAGGGACCTAAGACTGTATGCTCCTTGAGGGCAGAGACCAATGTGAATGTACAATATGTAAAGCGTTGTGTAAATTGGGTTCCCCAAGACTTGAAAGCCATTTCATTGGTTCCTCTGGGGAAAAAAAAAAAAGGTTGAGAAAGGCTGCTCTACATCTTAAAAGGCAGAAACCATGACATGTTATTGCATGAAACAAGACACTTGCACAACAAACATAGTATTTCATCACATATGCAGTACTGTTTTCCTGGTCTTAGATTGTACCCTATTGAGGTGGCCCAAGAGGGTCTAACCTATCCTCGAGGATTCTCAGCACACTAAAAAAGTACCCAAAATCTGCATCCCTTCACTATTATCCACTGTTCACAGTGAAGGTACTCATTACTTTGTGTTGGAGGGGCTTTTTAGACCTGGGAGTGTCTGTATCCTCATTGGAGAGATAACTCTTAAGCCTAGTAAACATGATCAGAAAATCTTACGAAAAGTACCGCTTTCGAACCGACCATGTGATACTCTGTTAGTACACAGCTTTCGTCCGAAATTATTTGAACGGACAAGCATGAAAATTTTTCTTGTATGATCCCAGATTGTACGATTTTCATTAAGTACAGTTTTCATCCGAAAATACATCACTTCCGAATTTTTATTCTGTTGTACAAGAATTTTCGTAATCTCTTCATTTTTGGTATGAGACTTCATTTTTGGTGTGATTATTTGTCCAATGTTCTCAGTGTGTACGGGGCTTTAGCTTCTTGTCAGTGATATTGGTGAGGAGTTCTAATCCAATCTCTTTACAGAGAGAAAATAAAGCTGGCCATACACTAGAGTTTTGTTCAAATCTTTGTGTTTTAAGAACGTTCTTTCGATTTTCTAATGGTTAGTTGGGTCAAAATCGGCGTTCATTTTCAACTGCAATGCGAGAAAATTCGAAGAAGCAGGATGACAAACTGGAATTAAAAACGTTTTACTGGAAAGAGGTTACAAAGTTTTTATTGCTATGCGAGTCGTGACCCTCGTTCTCCTAATTTCTTGTCACAGGGATTAAATGGGTCATAGATAGCTGTAAAAATCCAACATATGTTCCACAACCATCTCTACTCTAAAGGCCCATTCACACTTCCCATTGCGATAAGGTATTAGCAAAATATGCACAAAAATGCAAGCAACATGTAATGTAATGCACCAGACTGGTAGTCCACCACAATGCACACTTTAACCATGATATGGAGCACTGGCCACCCATTAATTTTAAACTGGCTGCTTAATGCAAGGCATGTGAACGTGTGACATAAAGTGCATAAACAAAGATTTAAATTGTCCCAAAATCTAATTCCCCAGGTAAAAAAATAAAATAATATCGGAACCTGTTTTCCAAACACTATTATCAATTGAAACCATTTTATTATCAGTTTAGACTGAACTCCAGGAAACAGCCAAATACACAGATGGAAGTCATATATGGGAGAGGTTCAACCTGTAAAAGGATTTGTATTCGTATTTGTCCATCCATTCCTGAGATTTATACAGCTCTGTCACACAGGGCAGTCAAGCAGATGACACCACTTTTTCTGTTAAAAAACTGTAGAAAAAAAAAAAAAAAAAAAAAACAGAACAGAAATATCCTTTCTCCACCCCCAACCTGCTGAATGGTCAAGTAAAAGAGCAGCTACAGATTGATGAGATCATCTCTGTTCTCTTCCCTATCAGCACATTTGCATGCAGTACACATTAGTGGCTTCCAGCACCTCCCCGTTCCCAGTCTAAGCACTGTTGTATAGGAGGAGATTGAAAGAAGCTGATACCAAGTGAAATTCAGGTTCACTAGTTGCACTCAAAAAAATACATGAACTAACTGTAAAAGACAGAGCTATTTTAAAGGACAGGTTCATATTCAGGGTGTAACATGTTATGAACGGACCGGCCCTTGCTCTCCATTGTGACAGCTAGCGGGGGGATCTTCTCTTCCCCACTAGCTGTTACAAGTTTTAAAAAAAAAAACACGGGGCTCCACCTGTCTGGCCACGGCATTCATTCACAGTGTTGTGTGAATGAATGAACTACAAGTTCATTGCAGCTGTCGGCTTGTAGTTCTCAATGAACTACCAGGGCGCTATGGAGTGCCGTGGTAGTTTGATTCTTCCTGTCAGTATATCTGCGTGCCCTTACAGGCAAGCAGATATACCCAGATGTCTGAAGAAGACCTGCATCTGCTGATTGCTGATGCATTGCTTTAGAGGACCCTGTTCCCACGCAAATACTACGGTCACCCTTTGGCTCTATCCTACACTCTAATTCATAACTTCAATCTCTCCCTTTCTACTGGCATCTTCCCCAACCCTCTAAAACATGCACTAGTCAACCCCATACTTAAAAATGCCTCACTGGACTCCACCAATCTTAACAACATAAGGCCCATCTCCTTACCCCCTTTTTCCTCCAAACTCCTTGAAAGTCTAGTCTACAACTGGCTGAGCTACCACCTCATTCAGAATGACCTTCTTGATGCCCTTCAGTCTGGATTTTGCCCACAACACTCCTCAAACTGCTCTCCTAAAACTCACAAAAGATTCACAAACAGCGAAAACCAATGGTCACAATTCCATACGCTTACTCTTGGACCACTCTGCTGCCTTTGACACAGTTGACCACCCCTCCTCCTAAAACAAAAAACCCTCTATTACGTTAGTTTGCATCTTACCGATATTCAGTGTCACTTACAACTCTACTTCCTCCTCTCCTATTCCTCTTACCGTCAGATTCCCCCAGGGTTCTGTCCTTGGACCACTCTTATTCTCCATTTACACCTCTCCCCTGGGTCAGCTAATAGCTTCCCATGGTTTCCAATACCTTTTCTAAGCTGATGACACATAACTATCTTCTTACGACTCAGCTCACCCCATCAGTTTCCTCACGTATCACTGATTTAACAACAGACATATCAGACTGGATATCACACCACTTCCTCCAACTTCAGCTATCCAAAACGGAGCTCATAATAATTTCCTCCCCCACATGCCCCTTCCCCTGATTTCTCAGTCAAGTTCAAATGGCACAACTATCAACCCGTCCCCACATGCCAGGGTGCTAGGTGTAACCCTGGTTTCTGAACTCTCGTTTCAGGCCTACATCCAATCCCTGTTCAAATCATGCTGCCTCAACCTCTGCAACATCTCCAGAATACGCCCCTTCTTAACCAATGAAACTACAAAGCTTCTAATTCACTCCTTGATTATCTCACCCCTCGACTACTGCAACTCCCTCCTCATTGGCTTACCTGTACATAGGCTATCCCCTCTTCAGTCCATCATGAATGCTGCTGCCAGACTCATCCACCTTGCCAACCGTTCAGTGTCTGCCACCTCTCTCTGCCAATCTCTCCACTGGCTTCCACTAACCCAACAAATAAAGTTCAAAGTACTAACAACTTACAAAGTTATTCACAACTTGCCCCCCAGCTACATTACTAACCTGGTCTCAGAATACCAACCAAACCACTCTTTGGTCCTCTCAAGACCTCCTGCTCTCTAGTTCCCATATCACCTCCTCCCATGCTCGCCTCCAGGACTTCTCCCATTTTATGGCACTCCCTACTTCAACCTCTCCAACTATCTCCTAATATATCCACCTTTAGATGATCCCTGAAAACCCTTCTCTTTAAAAGAAGCCTATCCTGCTTCTAACTAATGCACTGTGCTTTTACTTGCTCCATCAGCTCATCCCCCACAGCTATTACCCTTTGTATCACTTGACCCTTCCTCTTCGACTGTAAGCTCTAATGAGCAGGGCCCTCTAATTCCTCTTGTACCAAATTGTATGGTAACTGTAATGTCTGCCTTCATTTTGTAAAGCGCTGCGCAAACTGTTGTGCAATTATTCTTATACAGGATGTATATAGCACCATTTTGTTTTCACCTGCAAAGAAATGTGCATTTATTATGTTTGTAAAAAGGTGAACTTATTCTTTAAAATATGTCTTTGTGGGTTCATGCACATGGGTGTACAGCACACTACATTCAGATTAGTAATATGTATTCTTTATTTTTTATGGCCCGAAACACAGCAATATAATATGCTATGGGCCCATCCGCTCAGACTTGTAATCTTCTGTCCTGGGCATAAACCGTGTTGAACAATGTATTCATGTAAATGGTTGCGCTAATATTAAAGGCATACAGCGGCTGGAGTAAAATGTACAATATTGGCCCTGAACACCATGGATGCTAGGCATTCAAAATCCACCTGTGTCTGAGCAACCTAGGATGTCAAGCAACTGAAGTCGCTCAGGTCCTAGCAACCTAGGATGCTAGACAGCAGGGGCCACCAGCTTCCTAGCAACCTAGAACTCTAGTCACCTGCATCCTAGCAATTGAAAATGCTGGGCAGCAGAAGCTGTCTGCATCCTAGTAACCTCGGATGCTAGGTGACAGGGGCAATCTGTGTCCTTGCAAGCTAGAATGCTAGGCAACTGAAGC